TGTCTGCTACGCGTTATCCGCCGCTTTGGAATCAGACTCCCTCCTAACCGACCAAGGTCGAAACTTTGAGAGCACCTTGATTCCAACTCTCTGCGAGCTGTTGGGTACCGAGAAGCTGAGGACAACGGTCTATCATCCTGCCTGCAATGGACTCGTAGAACGGTTCAGCAGAACGCTGATCGAAGGCTTGAGTCACTACTGCGAGGATGGCACCGTGGACTGGGTCCGTTGGTTGCCGCTGACAACGTTCGCCTACAACACGAGCCAGCACTCCACCACGGACGTCTCCCCGTGGGAGATGGTGTTCGGAGCTGAACCGAAGACGCCGGTCAACGTGGAGCTGTGCGGCCAGCCAGAAGAGCAGGTGAAGAACGTGTCGCACTGCGAGTACCTGAGGCGTCTGAGAAGGAAACTGCAGCAACTTCGCGAAGCGCGCTGTTGAAGATACACAAGAATCCGTCGAAAAGGGTGGAGGAGGGCCAGTCTCTGTTGAACGAAGGAGATCAAATGTACTACCGAAACTCTACTAAATCAAAAGGCAAGAAAGGGAAACTGCAACCACGGTTCGACAGTCCCCATCTGGTGGTACCGGTTCGTCAGCCAGATTACGTCATACAGAATGGAAGACGGAAGCGACTGGTTCATGGATGGCATCTGAAGCTAGTCGGGACTGGGAACCTGACTGCGCCGACGACCGCGTGTCAGGGCCGGTCCTCACACGGTGGACCAGCCAGCTGTGTAGCAGTTGGCGACGGACCCGCCGGCTACGCAGCAGGTGACGACTGGGCAGCTGACGTCTGGACAGCTGGAGGCGGACCAACGGATGGTGGACCAGCTGGAGCTGGACCAACGAATGGTGGACCAACTGGAGGAGGACCAACGGATGGTGGACCAGCTGGAGGCGGGCCAACGGATGGTGGACCAACTGGAGGCGGACCAACCGGTGGCGGACCAGCCAGGGACGGATCGGCTGCTACGTTCCTACTGTGGGCTTCCTGGACTCGGCGGAGCAGCAGGCGGCGATACCGGAGGAATCAGTGCGGACATCGGGGCCGCAGCCGGAGGCTGTCCTACCAGTGGCGCCGTCTGGAGCGGATGGAGTGTTGATGGTGGCGCCACCTGTGGCACCCGAGCGTGTGGGTTCTGGAGTGATGTCACGAACGAGGTCTGGACGTGAAGTCAGACGTCCGCGACGCTACCTGGACTAAGTTGAGTGTGCAGGTGTTTTGGTTCACCTGCCATACAGTGTGAGAAGTGAGTTCTTTTACTTGTTAGATTGCACGAGAGCTGACAACTAATGTGATTGGTTGTCGGGAACATCTTATGTTTGGGGCCGTACAGTGATCTTTGGGTTCATAGACTAGAAGTCCAGTTTAAGGAAAGGGGGATGTAACGGTCGGGGCTTAGCTGAGCAGTTCCGGCGGGCACGGGGAGTGCGCGCCCCGCTGGGGAGGAGCGGGTGGCGGCCGGAGGATACGGGTGTGGTGAGAGTTGCTGAGATTGGAGATTGGCTGGTGTTTGGAATACAAGAGATTTTCGAAGACGGACTTTGACTTCTCGAACGCGTAGAACGAGAACGAACGCGAGCACAACAACTGCAAATAATTATAATGCTTCGGAACGCTCATGATTTCATCATTCTATTTGTTATGATCTTAGCCTAAAAGCTGCTTTCAACAAGTTGTTAAAAGATGTTCCACATAGGAATGTAATAGTAATATTCATCTAGCCTCCCCTTCAAAGTTGTGCTGAGTTGACATAAGCCGCTACATCCTACATATAAACTTTCTGTTAGTAGCAGAACTTTTTAAAGCTTGGTAGGAGAGGCTGAAACCATTTTTTTGGAAGATGGAGTTCCCAAGGATTTTTGGCCTCTGCTACTTTTAGTATGGGGTTTATGTGGGAAGGGGGCGTTGGAGTGGTGACGCTCCTTGGGATGTGCTACACCATCTTGAAAATGAATTGTCTCACTCAGCACATGAAATACTGCAGGATTGGTTTCTTGATAAATACTTAAAAATCAAGTTTGCTTAAAAGTCTTGGAATATTGATGAGTTTTAAAGACGTTACGAATACAGATTAGCCCTGTGCTTGAAAGTATTAGCACCCAACTCCCCTCTCATGACTAGATGGAATCTTTTGATGTTCTGATCTTCTATAAGGTAAACAAGAAAGTGTGTGATTCCTATGTGAGACTTCAATGACATAGTTAATGACACAATAATTAGGCAAATTAGCCAATTGCTCTTACGTTTTAACTGCATGTAGAAAATGGGCATGCATTAGCAGTGACATTTCAGTTATAGCACTCGTTGTCTTGGGGTGAACAGGCCCTATGTTTTACACTAGCCACCTGTAAATCACCCAACCAGTAGCATAATGCCAGCAAGTCACCATGGTGTTCTCAATGTGTAGGCTCTGTGCATACATGCACAACCCCGTCCTGGACCAGAATGCCCCAGCATAGCTTGATCTTGCCAAACTGTCATCCAGTGGAAAATCTGCCACAGAAAAGCAGTTCCCATGCAGGGAATGCTCTTCATGTTAATGCTGGTTAGTGTCATTGCCATGTCACCACTGGTGTATGCAGATTTAGTCATCTATGTTTCTGCACCTTCAAGGGTATTTCATGTGTAGGACTTCTTCCAGTGTGGCTCCTGCAGAATGCAATATAAATATATGGAGCAGCAACAGGCTGCTGCGTTCAGGAGGAATGCCTCAACTGCAATACCAGCTGCTGCTTTAGAAATATCGCAGACTGCCCCTGCATTATGTGTGGACCCTCCAGCCGCACCAGCAGCTCCTTCAGCCCCTTTGGCAGACCTGGCAGCCCCACCAGCAGCGTGGACGTCCTCTCCTGCAGCGTGGGTGGTCCCTCCCACAACGCCAGAGGTCTCACATGCAGTGCCAAGTGCTGCTCCAACAGCGCTGGTGGCTGGCGTGTTCGTTTGGGTAAAAGACAAACATGTCTGCTGATGTGACACTATAGTGTGACATTGGGACAGGAAAGGCAGGCAACTAAGACAAAAAAAAAAATTAAGTGGGAAGCCCTCAAAAACATTGTTGCTCAGCATGGTCACAACGTCGCGTGGTCCGAGCTGCGCGGAAAGCGGTACTCACTAGTCAAACAGTACAAGGAAATTAAAGACAGTAAGAACTGCAGTGGCGCGGGCGCAGTACGTTGGCAATGGTTCGAAGACATGGACTCAGGCTGCGGACGTCACCGCAAAGCCCGGGCACAGAATCGTGACCAGCCCGTAGAAAGTGGTGCCATACAACCACCGTCCTTGGTACCGTCGTCTGCTGACGCCTGCTTGGGAGATGACGATGACGGTCTGTCCCCGGGCGGCAATCCCAGCAAGAGGAGGGGGAGGAGGAGGAGGAGCAAAGCTGGCAGCTCGTCCCCACAGACGTGGTCAACGTGATGAGAGAACAAGGTAAAAAAGAGATGACTACTGTCGTGAAAAGCTTGAACTCTGTTGCAAGTCTCTAGCTAACAAGTGCATGATCAGCATCACCAAAGTTAACACACATTCTTTAATAGCAATCATGTAAAACTGAGCATTTGAAGAAAACTGAAATGTTTTCTACACCAACAAATTTGAGTTGTGATCTGTCACAAAACCTGGCAAACACTGTTCATGCATACATGCAATGAACACTCTTCTCATTGCCAACGCAGCAACTGTGTGTGGTCCTATAATATAATTATATCAGGACAAGGCCGACCAGGTTGCATGGCCTTTGTATACTCCTCAGCGAAGGGTTCCAATTGCGGCGTTGCACACAAATGGGGTGGATAATTTTTGACTGGCCGAATGCAAGGAAAGAATCAGGACTGTGAATGCTCCAATGGAGAATTATCTGATGGAAAATTAACCCCAGGGAAAATTTCCCCTGACTGAATGCACCCTGAGAAGGTTGAAGTGGGATGAGCAGTCAAACCAAACAGAAGACATTTGCTTAGTCAATATACTGCAGATTTCATACTGGTTGATACATTTCTACCTTAAAAACATATCCCAGATCACTTTACACCCAACTAGTGGGGAATTGAGAAGATACATGCAATACTATTGGTGAGCTCAACCTACACACCCTGCTGTTAGGTGTAATAGGACATTAAAAATATAAAACTGCTGGGACTACTTTTCATTCCTTGGCAGGTAACCCTACAGAGCAACAACTTGATAACATGTCCAAGACCTGGAGCTTCATTATCACTATATTTCAAGCTCCTCAGCAAAAGCTATCAAAACTATATATGACACACTGTTTTACTAAAACTTATCAGTATTTGTTCAAGAGTTTGATGCAAGGAGAACTTTATTTAGTTTACTCCAATCAAAAATATTTTAGCTTTGAATGCAAATCTGAACCAAAATTACCAAATCATATAATTTCAATCACAATATGCCATGCATCTTCAGCTGCAACAAGTTTTCCTGGTCCACGCTAACACATCCTCTTCACACACAATGACTTTCTTGGACACTGTGCCTCAAAATGCTGCAAAATATTGCCATGACATTCTTAAATAGCCCATTTCTCAAAAACCCAAACAGTCTTTTTGTGAGCAGTGCACCAACTTAACTCTCAAATTTAGATAGACAGACACTTTCCTGTTTGGTTAGCTCCCCCCCCCCCCCAAGATACTTCCGCAGTTCAGGCATGAAATAATGTCCAATGCCCTCCCCAAACATACTCAACTATTTGTTAGGGAAAATCACAGGAATCTTCAGCCATATACATCAATACCGGACTGCAAAAAAATACATGTTACAACAAGCATGCCCTTGGAAAGTTCACACAAAATCTCTCCCCAAATTATTTTCAGTTATTTCTTGCGGAGGCAATTCAAAAACTTTCCACGTGTCCTGGCATGGGTTTAACGCACGCCAGCGTGATGTTATGCGCACCAACATCGCGTAGGAGTCCGGCGCAACGGATTCATTGCTTGCACGCTGGCACGAATGCATACTGCATAGACCGTAACATACCTGCAGTGATCCCAATGCCCCTGCACGTCCTTCTGCTTCCCGGAATGTGATTCTTCCCCACCACTCACTCCTGCCTCACCCCATGCCACGGTTTTTCAAAAAGTATCTAATGGTGCTAAAACTGCGATTGACACTTCAGCCCTCGCCTCGTGCGCTGATGAGCCGCCCTATCCGTCGGAGTTTTTTTTTGTAGGCCAATGCAAGGCCTCCTTTTTCCCTCGACGGACCTAAAGCCACCTCCGAGGGGGGGGGGAAGTTACTTCCGGCACAAGGCCAGGCAACGATTACGTTAAACCGGCTTATGCTGTCCGGCGCAAAGCAAGGGAAAGGGTATTCGTAAGTGACGTTACGTTCACCTGGCTCATTTTTGTCCAGCAAGATCATTGCAAGTAAATCAGACCGCAGCGACAGATATATTTATTTCATGACGACATAGCACGCATTCAATACGTTTGAACGACAAGTGAACCTCCTCGCCGGCCCTTCCGCCTTACTCCTGGGGTGCCGTGTGTCCTGCGTGGGGTGTCCGTGTCAGCGATGGCCTTGGCTCAGCTGAATTGTCGGCGACCTGTGCGATGGATGGATGCCGGCCTGCTTCATCGCAGCAACGGGGAGATCAGCCCCGGGCTCCGCCGCCCGGCACGACCTTGAGGTGTTGTGCGATGTTATTGAGTCCTGGAAAGTCCTGACTAAGAAAAACCAAGACTCCTAGCCAATAGGAGGAAAACCTGCAATATTTGCCAAATTATGCAGGAAAAAAACCCTTTATTCAAATGAAGATATCTAATCCTGTACTGTGTAAAAACTCAGAGGAGAACGATCAAATCAGGATAAGAATCACAGAGGAGAGAATGGAGGTTGAGCGGGAGCCGATTAGCGTTGGTGTAATTGATGAGCGGCTGTCTTGATCGTTGATATACCGGACACACCAGGAGGAAGTGATTTATTGTGAAAGGGATGCCGCAGCGATGACACAGTGGAGGAGTGCGTTCGATAAGGTGGCAGTGGGTGATTTTGGTGTGACCGATACGCAGTCTGGCAAGCAGCACTTCCTTCAGGCGATTATCTTGATTGATTGTCGGCCAGTGCTGAAGTATGGGTTTGATTGGGTGAAGATGATGAGCGCGTTGATCCCATTCGGATTGGAGAAAGAGACGGAAATGTGAATTGATAGTTGCTAGAATATCAGAAACGGGACAGTGAAGATGATTACGTTCCGGAAGCATGAGACTTCGTTTTGCTTCTTCGTCAGCAGTGCTGTTTCCCCGAATATTTGCGTGTCCAGGTATCCAGAGAAATATTACGTGAGTTTGTTGAGGAAGGGAGCAGAGCGTTCGTAGTATCCCGTTTAAAGTTGGGTGGGATGAGTTATGGAGAGTGATTAGAGCTTGTAAGGACGAATGAGAGTCAGTGCATATGACTGCCCTTTGTAGATGGCCTTGCTTGATGTAGAGCAGGGCTGCCAGGATTGCTGTTAGTTCAGCCGTATACACAGTATTGTAATTTGACAGGCGGTTTGATTTGTGGTAACTATGATGTACGAAGGCAGCTCCTGTGCGACCATCGCGTCGGGAGCCGTCAGTACAAATAAAGGTGTGCTGGTCATATTCTCCTTTGAACTCAGCGAAGAGTGCATGCACTTCGGTTTCTGATACGTTTCGTTTTGTGTGTTTAAACGGAGAGATTACGTTAGGTATAGGGTCGCCCCAGAAGGGTCGGGGACTGGGAGTTGGGTTGCAGGGAATGTCGGGGAGATTAAGCGCTCGCTGCGCTCGAATAACACGAGTGCTGATGGTTGGATGCTGGAGTTCCGCGTTGGTAAGTGTGCGGTTGGGGCGGAGGTGTGCGAGGGCGTTGTATGTTGAGTTACCAACGTGGCCTGTGGCGCGTGCGTAAAACCTGAAAAGTCGTAATTTTCGTCGGTGTGATAGGGAGGGGATATTCGTGTCCGCGAGCAGATTTGGGACCGGGGAGGTGCGAAGTGCACCAGTCACTATGCGGGGGGCTGTGTTTTGTATGGCCTCCAGGGTTTCGACTTTTTTGGAAGAAATATCATCAAAAAGAAAGCCATTGTAGTCCAAGATCGGGCGTATCAGGGACGTATAGAGGCGGAGGAGTGCGTCTGTCGGCGCCCCACTCCTGCCCTGCTATGCATTTCATTATGTTCAATCGTCTGGCGCATCGTTGCTTAAGGTCAGCAAAGTGAGCATTGAAAGTAAGACGACGATCTAATGTTATTCCGAGGTATTTAAAACTGTCAACTAGAGGAGTTATTTCACCATTAAGATTCAGGGGGGTGGGAGTTTGAACGTTATTTCGCCTAGAGAAGATAATGACAGTCGACTTCGTGGGTGAAATCTGCAGTCCACACCGTGCACACCAGGCGTGAATATCATTTACAGCTAATTGTACATAATGCAGTGCGCGATCGACATTAGCATGCGTATGCCACACAGCTAGGTCGTCCGCGTATAAAGAATACTGAAAATGTGGAGAAATATTATTAATATTATTGAAAACATCATTTATCATCACAAGGAAGAGGGTTGGAGATAAGACACTGCCCTGAGGAAGACCGTGAGCCTGCGTCGTCGGAGAAGAATGAGTATTGCCGCAACGCACAGAAAACGTCCTATCAGTTAGGAAGTTTTAATGAAAGCGGCGAGCCGGCCACGAACTCCGATTTCATGTAGTTTGATGAGGAGGGCACTTTTATTCACCCTGTCGAAAGCGGCCTTTAAAACCACGAATAATGCTACCGTAGTAGATTTGGTCTGAAATCCGAGCTGAATGGAATCCATAATGTGGACCAGGCTGTCCGCCGTGGAGCGGCCAGGGCGAAAGCCGTTCTGAAAAGGTGAAAGAAGGTGATTTGACTCAAGGAACACCCTGATACGTCCGTTGACCATTCGTTCGAATATTTTAGAAGCACAGCTAGTAAGAGAGATGGGGCGATAGCTCGAAGGGTCAGAGGGAGGCTTAGAAGGTTTTGGTATAGGGATAAGTGTGCTAGAGCGCCGTGAGGGAGGGAAGGAGCTGTTGACCCACATATCGTTGAAAGCCGACAGAAGGTTGGTGAGTCCAGACCTAGTAAGATTTCTAAAGAAGGGGTAGGCTAACTGGTCTGGACTGACAGAGGTGTCTCCGCACTTACTGATCGCAAGGTCCAATTCATTGGGTGTGAAAAGTACGTTGAATGTCTCAGTGTTAGCAGACGTAAAGTTGAGTGCGAGCAGTGTAGCACTAAGTGTGCTAGTGATCTGTTGGGAATACTGCTCGGATGATGATACACGGGCGAAGTGTGTGGCAAATTTTGTGGCGATTTCGAATGGTATGCTGTAGTGTTGGTTGCTGACTACAAGGTGCGGAGTTTTATAATGTGGCGTGCGTTTGTTTGTGAAACACCGAATCAGTGGCCATATTTTAGAAAGAGGGGTAAAGCAGTTGAACGTATTTGAAAATTGCTCCCAGCTTTCCTGTTTTGCGCGTTTAATGATTATATCGGGTTGATGTTTAGCTCTGCGAAACTCGTCTTCATGCGCTCTGCAAATGTAATTACGAAAGGCACGCATAGCCCGGCGCCGCAGGGCTAATGCGCGCTGACACTCATCGTTCCACCAGGGCGCATGTTTGTGCCCTGGTCGACGATGAGTGTGTGGAACGAACTGGTGCGCTGAGGCTAAAATAGCGTTTAGAAATGTGGGGAGGTCGGGAGTTGCGCCTGACGGGTGTGCCTCATCTATATAATTTTGGAAAGATGCCCAGTCCGTTCTGCGAACATTCCATCGGGGAAGAAAATTGAAGTCTATTTGCCCTGATGGGACCTCTAAATTTATATGGATCGGGTAGTGGTCACTAAAAAGCGTGTCTGATTGAACATTGTGCGTAAAGAGTGGTGCTATGCGTGGTGTTGTTAAGGCTAGATCTATAACAGAGTATGTCACTGTGCCTCCGTGCTGATGTGCATGCGTAGGTGTCAGTTCATTGATACATATGAGGTCATGAGTGTCCATGAGTGTGTGTAAAACTCTCCCCCTTGCTTTTGTCGTGCTATAACCCCATGCGCGATGACGGGCGTTCAGATCCCCAAGAAGGAGACAGGGCGAAGGAATTTGGGCGAGTAAGGCGGATAGATCAGCTGAGGAGACAGGGCTAGTGGGGCTAATGTATATAGAAAGAAGAGTTAGGTCTAACTGTGCTAATTTTACGTTTATTGCAACTGAATTGAAATGAGTATTAAAATGAACTCGACGATGCAGAAGGTTATTTGAGACAAACAAGGCCGAACCGCCTCGGCGCGGGGTTTCGTTTACGTTATGTGTGTAGAGGCAATAACCGTTGATCTTAAAGCTATAATTAAAAGAATCCGAGTCGTTAAATAAGGTCTCTTGAACGGCGGCTATCAATGGTTTGTTTTTTTATTATATATTCCTTGAATTCTGCCCAATGGGATACCAGAGATCTCGTATTCCATTGGAGCAAGAATTCACGGAACTGGGGATTCATTTAGGGCAGGGAGGGAGACCATCCAGCGGAGCGGCAGTGAGAGAGCGATCGAGGGGCGCGGCGGCGGGAGCGCGTAACGGGTCGGACTCGGCGTTCGACTGAGGGACTGGCCCGGGGGGTTGGCGCCGGGACCGCGGCGGCTGAGGCATCGGATGGGGCTTCTTGGGACGCCGGCACGGGTGGAGTGGACCAACAGCGACGTATTAGGGTGGGAGAGAGGCTCTCCGAGTTTGGTGGGGCGGGTTCCTGCTCAGGGAGGCTCGCAGCCGCCGGGTTCGCTGTGACAGTCGGCTGGCGCGGACTCGATCGTACGCAGCACTGGACGCGGCTGACCTGCTGGGGAGGGGCGGCGTGCTGAGGAGGAGCGTTGTGCTGAGGCACAACACTGGTTCGATACCTTAGGCTCCTTAACAGGACGCGAAGGAGGGAGGGAGCGCCGCCGCGGAGCTGGTGTTAGAGGGGGAGGATGAGGGTACGCCTCCCGCGGCGTGGGCCACTCCTGAGGCTGGAGCACTCGGACCGGTGCATAGGCCGCTGCCGCTGCCTGCTGCTGGCGCTCGCGCAGCGCCTCGCGCTGCACACGCCAAGCGGGACAGGCGCGGCGGTCCCCAGCTGCGTGCAGGCCTTTACATGTAGCGCAGCGCGGGTTTTCCGCGCCACACTCCCGCGTGTGATGAGGGTTGGCGCAGCGGCCGCAGGTCGGGCGCGCAGCTCGGCAGGTCCGGTCAGTGTGGCCGA